TCAGCGGAGCCATCGAGGGTCCTGCACCCCCTGCCAGAGACTGGCCCCACCACCCCGTCTTGTCCATCAACCCCCACCACCTCCCTCTCCCACAGGCCGCCGTGGGTTTCTCCCCCAGCCACATGGTGCAGCGGTGCCAGGGCTCAGTGTGGGAGTAGGACCGTGTCTGTGCCAGGGGCACATTGCTGGGACTGTGTCTGGGCGAGGGTGTGTGCCCATACGTGGTGGTCCCCATACCCTCTGGCCTCGTGTGGGCGAGCATCCCACCGCCTGCTGCCACCGCAGTGCCACAGGCTGTGCTGTGCCCCAGCTCTCTGCCTGGTGGAGACCTCCTTGCCCACAGGCTCCTCCCAACCCTCCCTCGTGCTTTGCAGAACCAGCCGCCTGTTCCTGTAGGTTGCCCCGTTTAGTTGCTCTGTACCAGCCCCGCAGTGCATATCTAAGTTCCAGCCTCCATCCTACAGCCCTCCACCCACCCTGCCCTGCCCCTGCCTGCCCCAAAGTCCCCCAGCACGTCAAGGCCTGAGCTCAGCAGAGGAAGGACGGCACGGCACACTCCCGGCACACTCCCAGCACGCTCTGGCATCGCTCAGCCAGGCAGCTGCCCGTGTTGCACGTGTGCCCAGGGCACCATGCTATTGGAGCTGGCCCCTTGCACCCATCCCTCCTCTAGCCCTTTGCATTTCATAGAGGATGGGTTGCTCATCCGCCAGCCCCATCTGCCCTAGTTTCCGTCCCACTGTCCATGCTGGTGCAGCTCTTGGCCTCCCCTCCCGTCGAGCATCCCTCCATCCCAGGCAGGGTCTGGCTCATGGGCTCTTGTGTTGCAGTGCAAATGGCAGAGCCCACCCCTGGTGCCCCCACGGGTCACCACTGCCGCTGGGGATGGAGCTGTGGGGAGGGACAGGGGGGTCCTGAGCCTCCCTGCCCAGGTGCTGCTCCCCTGCCGTCCCCAGCCGTGCCGCCCAGCCTGCCGCCGCCAGACTTGCTGCAGCTAATAAAGCTCTTTAAATGAAGTCTCTGCGGGTCTGTGCTCTCTGTCCCTGGCACAGTGAGGGGATACAGCTGTGGCGCTGCCCTGGCTAAAACCTGGCAGAGCTAGGGCTGGTGGGGGTGGGATGGCAATGAGGGTGGACATCAGCATTATCACCTGCAGCTGGGGGCTCAGAGAATTTTAAAGCTGCAGCTGGGGAGCTCCTGCCCTGACCAGCCTGGGAGCAAGATGCTGGTGGTCTGAGTGGTGCAGGACACAGCCAGGTCTCGTGTGAGCTGGAGTTTCTCTATGCTGTGGTCCTGGGGTGCTGTGGGGTGGCTGGGTGGGCTGTCAGGGTTTAGCCCCTTTCCATACTGCCAAGTGCCCAGACCAGGTTTCCAGCCTGGTGGGACATGGGTGTCCCCAAAGCTGGGTGCTGCCTGCCCCAGGGCCTGGCTGTGCCCCTCTGGTTGGAGAGCAGCTCCCAGCACTGGTAGTGCCCAGCCTGGCCCCGGCTGCCCAGAGTCCCCCAGCTCCTCTGCAGCTTGCTACTCCCTGGAGCTCCTTCGTGCTCACCCCTCACTGTGCTGATGTGAAGCCATTTGTCTGATGTGAAGTGATTTGTCATGTGTGAGAGGAACAAAAGCAAGAGCTGTTGGCCCAGCGTCAGCCTGTGCTGGGGGCAGCAATGGGCACAGGTGGCTGTTGCCTACGGAGCCATGGTCACCTTTGCCACTTGAAGAGCTGTGGCCTCAGGGAGGAAAGGGGACAGGAGAAAAACATTTAGGAGCTGCAGGGCAAGAGGCTGCTGGTGCAAAATTCCACTTTGCCATAGGCAGCAACAGTGGCTGAGCAGAGCAGTAGGGTTGGGGCTGTGCTCAGATGTTGCCTGTGAGGGAATAGGATTGCTGGGAGAAGGAGAGGGATTGGGAGGCACAGGTCACCAGTGTGGCAAAAAGCAGTCCACAGTGGAGGAAAATGAAGAGCCAGAGATGTGCTGGGGAGGGCAGGAGGCTGCAAATCACCTCAAACAGGGAGTAAACAAATTGCTGTGCAGTGTAGTGATTTGTAAAACCTGGAGGCGAGCTTTAACAATAACAGGTTTTATTAGAAGAGATTAATTTTGCTGAGTTTATATGAAATCTTGGGAGCAGGAGTCAGAGGAGAGGACCCTGCTGGATCTGTGTGTTGGGCCCAGCAGTGCCTGGTGCTGGGGGCTGTGTGTGGGACTGTGCCCCCTGCCCTGGGTGTGGGAGTCCCCCATGGTCCTGGCTGGGTTTGTGCATGGAGGAGGTGGCTGGACATGGATTTCTTGGCTCCCTGTCCCCAGGGAGGGTGGCAGGAGTCGGGTGAGCCAGGAGGTTGTCCCCAGCTGAGTCATGATCCCAGTGGGTTGGGGGCTGCTTGGGTACCAGCAGCCAAGCCCCAGGGCTTGTGAAGGGGCTGAGCTTAATATGCAAGTCACTACTGGGGAGGAACCAGCCTCATGAAAATGCCATTTCCACGCAGGCCCTCTCCCGGCCATTATCCTGCCTCAGACAAAAGCAATTTACTCTGCCTCCAATAAAGCAGGGGTGATAACGAAGCTGAGAGGAGCTGTGACAGGCAGCTGTGTGACAGCCTCTCCCACCACCCACACCCACCTGCTGGCAGGGGTTGAGGCCATGGGGAAAATCTCTGGGAGAACATTGGGGGACACTAGTGCTGGGGCTCAGTGGGGTCTCAAAACAGTCAGCTGTGCCACAGCTGCAGCTGGGGGACATAGCCCTGGGCACTGGGCAGGGACTAGAGTGCACAGACACTGATGGGACAGTGCTGCCCTTGAGTCTCATGCCTGTCCTGTGTGGTGGTGAGCTTTAGCACGGGCAGGCTGTGTTTCCAGAGCCCCCACTGCTGCGGAGGTGAGCAGAGCCAGGCTGGATGCAGCATCTGCACCTGATGGATGAGTTTTATCAAGTGCTACAACAACCCAGAAAACTGCACCAGCCCCAAGGGCGCTTGGAGACCACAAGCAGTATTTCACCTGCCTGCCTGCCCTGTCAGACCAGCTCTGAAGGCTCCTTTGTACAGAACCCAACCAGCGTTAAGCACTGAACAGATATTAAAGCATAAAGCTGACCCACAGACCTGTCCTACCGGGTAAAAAGCCACTGACTTCTGTATTCCCTGGAGAATCAACCAGGAGTAAAGCCTGAATAAAACCAGGAAGATGAAGGGATGTAGCCTCAGCTGAGGGATGTGGGCAGCAGCAGCGGTGCCCTTGGGCCCACAAACAGAGACACCTTTTGGATGCTCACCCAGGATCCCCAACAGCGATGCACAAACCCTGCTCCATGAAATCATCCATTTATTGCTTTGGTTTTTGTGTTTCTGAGCTTGCTCCCAAATTGACAGGCAAGGTCTATCCTTTTGCTTCACTTGAATAGAACTTCCTCAAATATCAGGAGACAGCTCACTGTCAGGAGCTGCTTGGGTGAAGCTGAGGGATCCAGGAGCTGGTGAGGTCTGGGAGCAGCCAAGCAAAGCAGCACCTGTGGACAGTCTTTGGGGACAGAGCCTAGGAATGTGGGAGCTAGAGAACATCACCTCCTGGGTGAATGAAGGTGAGGGAGGGGAAGCCCCTAGGCAGGGGCTGACCCCAAAGACAAGTTATCCTCTGCTCACTGTGCCACACTGTACCTGCTTGGGCAAACCATGGCACTGCTGTGGTACCACTGTGCTGACACCCCATGGCACTGCTGGTGTCATCACACCACAGATGGACCCACACAGAGGCTGTACCAGGGCACAAGGTAGATGCTTCATCTAATTCTCCTTGGGGTGGGTGTTAGAAATGGCCTGAGAGAACCAGGTGATCTGGGAATGGGAGGAGTTGTAAATCACTCTTAGGTGCAGATCAGGGCTGGCCGATACTCTGCAGAACTTCACACTTGTGGTGAGATGGGGAGCAGAGCGTGTTCAGCCATCTCCAGCCAGTCTCAGCAAATTGCAGCTGTGAGGAGCAGGCCTGATGCTTCTGAGAGGACACACTGCTTTGCTGGTAACACTGGTGCATTGGAAATGCACATTTATTTTTTTCTGAGATTAACTGGTTTAAAAAAAACCAGGCTTTTAGTGCACCCCAAACCAGATTCTCTTCCTGGGAAGGGTTAAGGCCAGAAGAAGCTTTTGCTTTGAGCTGGCAGTCACTGTCCAGCTGAGAATGGGAGGAGGTTATGAGGTCTGGGGGGTGCTGAAGGGGCACCCCCAAGGATCAAAGGTTGGGAATTAATTTCTGGAAGATGACTCATTCTTCATACTGAAGAATTTGAAATAGATGTGCCATTTTCTCTGCACGTGATGCTGGACAGGTACAAGTCAGGAGGAGCTGGGGCCATGTAGCCCCCTCATCCTCAAACACTGCTTTAAAAATAAACCTTCTGCAATGGGATCAGTGTATCAGCCACTGCCCCGGACTGGGCAACCCTTCCTTTGCGCCCAGATGATTTGGGGCCTCAATGATGGCATTTTTCCAGGCGAGCTTTATCCTGGTGGTTCTTCTTTCCCTTCCCAGCTGCTGTGTAGGTCCGTCAGGAAGGAGATGCCTCCTGTGTGCTGGTGCCTGTCCCTGTGCTCTCCTGCTGCTGCAGCCTCCGCAGCAGGAGCAGCACGTTGTCAGTGAGCTCGTTCCGTGGCCGCCCCATCCCGCTGAGCTTCACCGGTCGCAGGCTGCCGTGGGGGGGCTCATACTGCTCGGGGCAGTACACCTCGTTCAGGAGCAGCCAGGTGCTGTCAGGGTCCACGTGCATCAAGTGGAGGAAAACACTTGGGAAAACGGTAGGAAGAAAGGAAAGAGTAAGGAGAAGGCCATTTGGTTGGCACCCAATAGGGTCATTAAGAGCTAAGGAAAGCTTTGATGATGTCTGCAGCCTCTGGCAGCTGAACAGACTTGGTGGCTCATTACAGAGGGCAGTGCAATGGCCCCTGTGCCTGAGAAAGCAGCTCTGTGTCTCACAGCTACTGGCATGTGGGAGAAAAATATTTAGGATGCTACACAGTCCGTTTATGGACAACAAACAAGCAGCTGGTGCAGAACTGACCCAGGCTTGGTCCTGGCATTGTGGGCTGCTGCTGGCACAAGCCTCTCTAAACTAGCCTGTCCCACTTGCTGGGGAGGTGACTGCAGGGCACATCTGGAATCTTTTGGACAACAGCTCCTGCAGAGCTCTTAGAAGATGCTGTCTATGTTGTTTACAACCCTCTCTGTTTTTTGGGGAGTGAGGAGGTTAACCCATCTGGGCTTCTTTCCCTTTCCAGAGGTGGAAAACCCAAAGGTATTTGGGGACAGCTGCCCAGGCTGGCCCCTAAGGGAAGATCAATGCTGTATTTGAGGGCTTTTCACTCCTGCGAGGTTTCCCACCATCCCAAGTCCTTATTAGCTGCCTCCAAATTTTCTTCGTACTGCACAGCACCTTTCACAAAGCAGGATTTTAAAACAAAATCAAACACAACCTTCATTAACAACAGAATGAAGGAAAAGAGGAATCACAACTTCCTCCACTGCTTTACTGCTGTGTTGATGGTTTTCACTTTGAATTTCAATACCTCTGTAAGATGGGATTTGCCTTTCCAGCATGCCCTTCACACTGGGCCCCAGCTGTGAGCTGCTGGGACGCAGCTGCTGCTGGAGAGCAGGAAGCTGGAGGAGGGATTTGTGTGACCTACACTCACCCACCTCCTGCCAGTTTTCCCCGCGGTAACCTTTGGGCTTAGCTAGGTCTGTGTCAGGGTTTAACGCACAGAAGGTGTTCTGAGCTTAAGTGGTCTTAAGTTCTCTGGCTGTGCCATGGACAAAATTAGACTAGTATTTGCAGGCTGCCTTGATTGCTCTGCAAGACTTCTTTCTGCATGGTGCTGAATGCTCTGTGAGCACCAGGGGTACTCAGCACCCACCAAACCTACGGGTCAGCCTCCCAAGACCCCAGGTAAAGCCCAGGCACATGTTTTCAGGTCTCCAGTTTTCACTGAGATCATGGGGCTGTGAGGAGAACAGCAGCTGGGTGAGGTAATGGGAAGAGAAATCAGGTAGGTCTGCCTGTGCTCCCCCAAGAAGCACAGGACTGAACTCCCCTCTCTAAAAGCAAAGATCATCTGCTACAAAAGCCACACAAAATCCACACCTGATTGCTGTCCAAGCTTCTCACAGAAGGACTTTTATCCCTAAAGTGAGCTTGCTTTCTATGTAAAGCAGGGAGAAATCCCTTTGAGCTGCTCTCCTCTGAAAGGGAGTGCAGTGCCATGGCTAACCTGAAAGCACACAGAAATGAGATGAAGGCACGAGAACGCTCCCTCTCCTCTTCACAATAACCTGTGGCTGTGTGACTCGTTACTCCACGAGCAGCCAAAGCTGTTGCTTTTGCCTGTCTGCCATTAACACCTTGCCGGTCCCTCAGTGCAGGTCTCTGAGCAGCCAGAGGGGAGACGTCACCACTGAAGCTGTTGGCAGTGTCCCCTCCCAGAGGTTCTGGCGCTGCCTATCTGCCTGCTCCAGAGGAA